CAAGGTACTGAGATCGAACTACGGCACTTTGTATAAAAATTTGATTGTGAACACTGACCATAGTACACTAATACACCAAATACATGTGTAAAAATATAATAAAAACATAATATGATATATGTTAAAATCAATATGACAAAATTTCAAATATGAATTTAAATCTGTTCCACTAATAACATTCTCTAATTCACATTCAAATACAAAAACGTAAATTAATTCAAACTATAAATATATAATTATTGTGCTGCTAATTATATACTTTGTATTTTTTCAAGTTCCGTAGCTAAATCATATGTACAATATCACGTTTTTGTTATCTTATATATAAAAATGGATCGCAAAATGTGTTGGTAAGCGCATAACTCAACAACGCCTAGACCAATTTGGCCAATTCTTTTTTTAAAATGTTCGTTGAAGTCCAAGGATAGTTCTTATGGCGAGAAAAAATCGAATAATTGCCGGGAAAACCCTAAAAACAGCCCCTTTCTTTTTCACATACAAACGTTTTCTAACTAAAACGTAGAATCAATTTGAGCTTTATTGCTATTATATAAAGTTTATATTAAATTACAAACACTCACTGTATACTCCTCCTAAACGATTATTCGGATTTTGATAAATCTTTCTAAAGTTTGTTAAGGAAATTTTCTAGGATGTATGTAATTATAAAGTACTGATATGTATGTGCAAAATTGTAAAAATAAATGGAGAAAATTGCAAAAAACGACATGTCATTGTTTGCATTGAAAATAAATGAAAACTATCACCTGCCAAAAATTTCAATTTACTCATGAACTTAGACAATATTAGAATATGTATAATAAATTTATGATTATGAATAACAAAAATGAAATGTCTACATTATTATTGCCGAAAGGCAGCTGAGATGTGCCAGAAATTAAAATAATATAAAATACAGTATGTATATATAGAATTATACACATATAAACAAATATGACAAATTAATTCACTTAAAATATGAAATTAAGTATTAATCAGCGCCGGTCCTACGTTTACTGCGATACATGCGAAAAATACGAGCGCACGTCTTAAGGGGCGCCAACACAAGATTCGGATATGAAATTTTCAATATAGTTTTTTTTAATATATAATTTCTTTGCATCTTTTACTAATCTTTCCACAATATTTTTAAAATTCATAAAAATTTTACTTTATGACAACAAATGGGTAAGTAGAGATGAATACATACAATTCGGCCCTCACGATATCGATTAGGAGGAGTTTAAGATACAATTTTAGATATCTTAAATAATAAAAAATTAAATTAATTTAATCCAACATGAAGTACCAGTGTTATGTTATATGGTTATGTTATACGGTTCAAAAGACTTCAATTTCCAATATAGTGTGAAAACTGAAACTCATCATTTTATTTAAAGCATATCTACATTTAATACCGCTCATATTATAAATGTATATGCATTTTGCAATATATAATAATTATTATTTTTAGCTAAATGGTAAATATTAGTATATTATATTAAAAAATTGTAGACATGGGTACAGGACAACGTCTGTCGGGTCATCTAGTTGTTTTATAAATTGCTTTTTATATATTGTATACTTTATATTATACTTCGTTTAATAAATCAATTTCTGTATGATGCTCCCTGCTGTATCATTTTTTACCGTATTTTTCTTTTATAGTTTTTGAAAGCAATTAGATAGATTCCAGTGAAGCATCTGTTGCTTATACTTTTAATAATTACGTGTACATTCTGCTGCATTTTAATATTGACTCAGTTTCAATATCGACTGCTTTGATATGCGATGACTTTGTGTTTTATTTGGATAAAACTTTTCTCTTTACTTCGATATTCTATTTTGTGTGACTGGATATTTTTAATTAAATCGACTGTGTATGTTTTGTGCAAGCGATATATTTTTTAAACTAAAAATTAAAAACAAAGATAGATTGAATTGAATTGAAGGGTTAAGACTTTATTATTCTTTGGTCAAAAAAAGGTTGATTAATAGTAAACTATAATCATTATGACATACTTCTTTTAAATTTAATAAAAACACAAAATAATCAAATTGATCATACAATCAATCAAAATAATATTTGCCTCAATCCAAATTGGACTTTTGTGCCCCGCACTACCCTAATTCTGAAGTTGATGTTGACATGTATTTATACAGGATGTCCCAGACATTGTGGTATTTTTTTATTGTCGTCTTAGAAATGTTATTCACGGTTAAGGTTTAAAAGTTTAAATGTACAAAATTAATAAAAGTTAGCCACAATAATCGAAAAATGGTCATAATTGGTTTTATAAGTATAGTTTCTTCAGCACGGTATCTTATTTTGATCCCTAGTATCCGAAAATCATATGTGCCTAAGCGGCTTTTAACACTTTCTGGACGGCACCGATTTCAAAACAATCTACATTACCGGCTGTAAACTTGATTTCATTGTGTATGTTATGCAATTCGTTTGATAAAAATTTGTGGTCATTGAAGGACATACATTTATAATATTAATTTATTTTTGATCCTTTTATAAAGAATCGTGACGTTCAAAACAATTTCCAAAATGCATAGCAGGTTGATTTTGACATGTTCTACAATATAATGTTGTTCGCCGCCTTCTCCCTAGTGCTTTTTGTCAGAACAGACAATACAATCCCTTTTTCTTTCACTCGCATCTAGAATATGCCACTGATTAGTCAGTATATTTGGTCATTTTTTTGCTGCCATAATGGTTTATTTTTTCTATTATATTGTCTAATAATTTATTTGTAAAATAATCTATTGGATGTTTTATATTGCTTGGTATTTGTAGTCGGGGTGTTAGTTGATGTATGTCAAACTCGATTATTGAAGGAGAATCGGCACATTCGCTAATGTCTTCCCGCTCTTCATTCCCGACATTCATCACTATCATCGGTGCAAATGGTAATTTCGTAAAATTTGTCTCTATGAATGTCTATTTGAAACCCATCTTCACAAACTGCTTAACTCACAAAATTTACCAGTCGTTTTGCCATATTTAAAAGCGCTCGGTCGTTTTAAATATTAAAAAAAAACATATAGCAAAGAAAAAGGCTAAAAATACTACTAAAATAACTTAAAATACAATATTGTTTATCACTGCTATATGTAATTTATTTAACTTTTCGATGCAAACTGAGTCATTGTTTATAAAATAGCCTGTGCCTCACAGAGTATGTTTGTCCACTGAGGTGGACAGCCGTCCCCAAAGTGTTAAATCGAGCCGCGCTAATATATATATATATATATATATATATATATATTAGGGTGGTCCTTAAAATGGTCAATTTCGAATTTCCTTGCTCCCAGGGGCTCAAATGGTTCCAAATAGATAAAAAACAATTCTCTGAAAGTTTTAGCTCTTAATATTAACGTTTAGATAAAGCGCAATTTAATCAAAGTTTTGTATGGAAATAGCATGGAAAAATTTTCAAAAACTTTAAAAATGTTTTTTAGATGTAATTTAGCGAACAAATGAATGAATAAAACTCATTCATTTGTCGCTAAGTTATACCTAAAACATTTTTTTTAAATTTTCAAATTTTTTTCCATGCCTTTTCCATACAAACTTTGATTGAATTGCGCTCTATCTAAATGTTAATATTAAGAGCTAAAACTTTCAGAGAATTGTTTTTGATCAATTTGGAACCATTTGAGCCCCTGGGAGCAAGGAAATTCGAAAATGACCATTTTAAGGACCACCCTAATATATATATATATATATATATATATATATATACATATATATGTTTGTGTGTATGTGTGTATCAATTTAATATATTATTCAATGTATATATATAATAAAGTAGCGTCGTGCATTATGGTAAGTCGAGCCGAATGTCGTGCATAATGTACGTCCCCCGTCGTTCTGCTTTATTTGCGTTTCGAGATGATCCTGTTGCATCGCGGCATTTTCGCATCCTCAGATGCTGGGCACCTCGTATCCGCTTCCGCACTGCACCCGATGATCAATGCAATAATCTATAAGCCATATCAGCTCTGAAGCTAATCAGAAAAGTTTGTTTTCGTAAGGCGCCGTTGTTTATGTTTCCCAGCGCATTCTATTACTGAAGAACTTTGGATATACAAGTCAGTCCTGGGGTAAGGTTTCGTCTTCTAGCTGGGCCCCGTAATTCAGACATCCTTTATCGAAAACTGTGGATCAGTATTTTATGCAATGATATTTATTTATATTCATTTATTATAACGATTTATATTTATTTTCCTGTTATCATTTTTTTTCTTCGGTTTCAAAAAAATTTACTACATGGGGATCATTCAAGTATTACGTAAGCAGATTTATTACAATTATTTACCCCTCCCCTCCCCTTTGTCAGCAAAAGTAAGCAAAAGTTCTTACCCAAAATAAGCATAATAAGCAAATCAATAACCCCCCGCCCCCCTATAATGCTTACGTAATACTTGAACAGCCCCATGGCTCACGTTTTATGCTTTAGTTAAGGTAATACATTTTACGTGAATTTATATTCAGTTTATTGTATATTGATAATTACATATTTCAACTAGAGGTAAGTAGCATTTTGCCTTAAGACAACTTCTCAATGTGGAAATAAGAAATCAATAAATTCATATAAATTTATTATATTTCACAAAAGTCAACTCATATATTATTTTCCAATTTCTTTATTCAAGCCGTGTGTATTATTCACGAAATATCATATTATTTTATATTGATTACTTCTAATATGTTTCAAAAGTACTTGTGGTATCCGATGAGTTTGTTTGAACAAAATGCTTATATGTTCCTTCATTAATTCGAAGTCGATTTTCCCATATACGTTGTTTCCTTCCAAGGAGCACTTGAATTGTTTCTCGTCTCGGTTTTCTCGAGAACCGCCAGACTGAGAACATCTTTCATGTGGCTATCAGTCCCTTAGTTAGATTCTGTTGAAGGCATTTCAACAGGAATTCCATCATAGTTCATCATACACGATACTAACATTGTATATTGTTGTTTATTTCAGTTGGTCGGCGGGGAATTTGATATGGAATTGAACTTCGTCATACAGGACGCCCAAAACATCAAACACATGCTGGAACTTCTAGACCACTGTCCTGCAAATTTACAGGTATGTAGCTGGAAAATATTTTTTGAATGGATGTGGTCCTAGGAAATTTATACATAACATTATTGACTTAGTTATTAAAAAGATTATGTTTCGAATACCTTTTATTTCTCGGGAAAATAGGTTAATCTATATTTTAACCAAAATTATTATCAATAAATCTTTTGGTAAGACACATAAAGGGAATAAGAAACGCGTAGCAAGAGCGGCCTTGCCTTCTTTCTCCTCACCCGCCGAGTCGCCGGACTACGTCGTCGTCCGCCTGAGAGGCAAGCGACCGTAGCCGTAAGCTCTTACGATGATTAGAAGTCCCTATGCGAATTTCTAATTCTACATATCCCGTTCCACTCAAGAAATAAGCCGATGCTGCGAGTTATTATCAAAGTTTCATTATAGCATATAGTGGATTTGCTCGCACGATTTCCAAGGAGTTTGTTTGTTGCGCACGAAGTCGAAAATGGTTAATTCCGTTAGTTTTTGAACACGTCTTTGTTAATTTTTGAAAACACTCTCAAATTTACAATTTTTTTAGAAGTTTGAATCATATTTAGTAAAGAATTGAAGTTTTTTTTTCAGTTTTTTGACATTTTTTTCTTGCTAGATTTGATAAATCTCTCGGTGAATGAGAAAGGTTTGTTCTTACGTACCATATTGCAGAGTTAAAACTATGTTCCTCATGTCTCGATTTTAACTACATAAACTCAGCCATGAAAATATTTAGCGAAAAATGTAGTGAAATTTTTTGATATCCATTCTAAGTAAACATTTTAATTAATCAAAAATAATTAAAGGTCTGTATTGGTTTTTTACATAATTTGGGGTTTCCACCAGTTTAATGAAGAAATTATACACGTCAAACCAAATAAATAATTTAATTTTTTTTTTAATTTATTAACAGATTTTTTTTATTTGTTTGGAAGTCATTTTTTTAAACAACTTAATGTTTTATTTGGTATTGTTTTTATTCATTTATTTTCATTTCATTTCATTGTCATTTATAGCTATCATTGTTTGTTTTATTTTCAAGCTTTCCAACGAAAACTGCATGTATTTCATGATAAATATTTATTCCATTCTCAAGTTTCAAATTCATTAACTTCACCAATTTATGTTTTCGCCCGAAATTTTTATGTGTTATTGACGTTTCAAGTATTCCGACTAGTTTGAAATCGAAATTGAAAAAGGAATATGTAAGTCGAATTTGACTTTTCTTCGTCTTTTTCTCATTTTTCAATTATTTGTGCGAAATCGGTGCAGCCATTTCTTTATAATAAAGCAAATCAATGCGAATTTGTTGTAATTTAGACAATATTTCACTTACACCTATTTATTTTATTATTAGCTATTTTTTATAAAAGGCACCATTATTTACATCACTGAATTCATCCATTCATTCAAGTTTCTGTAATGCATAATTAATTAATTATATATGTCATGCAAACGTTTTTGTGTTAAAGTTAATTTCTATTAAATACATATAATTTTACCGATTATATGTTAACGAGAGTTTATTTAATAAAAGTACACAAAGCAAATATATCGATCGAAACACCTGTGGCTGGTAACATTCCGTTCGGCAGATACAAATTCATTTATTTCCATGCACAAAATATGACAAAAGCTAATCCTTGGTTTCACAATATGCATTTTTCTTGTTCGATTCAATATCGTTCGTCCGTGTGTAAGTCGGCTTTTGTGCAGGAGTGTGGTGGTGTTTTGGATGGATGTGTGTTTATACGATGAAAATCTAACAATAAACCGGGCAAAACGATTCGGCGTTAGTGGCGAATGTAAATACGCTTTCGGTAGTGCGGTTTATACTTTTGTATGACACGTTTGTACGGGTAGATTTAGATAACGCACCAGCAGCCGGCAGCCGGCAGTCGGAAGTGCACCGAGTACAAATATATACGTATATCCAATACGTAGCCGGGCCGTTGCACCGGAATAGCCCGGAATAGCCCGGAATGGTCCGGAATAAAGCCGGCGGCAAAGCGATGGGAAAACGCTCGACGACTCGAACGACATCTGAGCGAGTTCACGTATGAACGACGTTATGATACATCGTTCTATTTGTAACGATTACTTCTATTGATATTTATTTATTTTATTACTTTGCTCACAGCGTATCTTCAAAAGAACTTAAAGCTGAAAGTGATAAACTACGATTATAGCGAACACTTTTTGGGTCGAATTTAGGCCAAAAAGCCTTATAGAGAAAATTGACTTAAGGGGATATTCTAGTGTAGAAGTATGAATTTTATTTCATTTTAAAACCATTGTGAAAAGTGCCAACCATTTTTTCACTATCATTTTTTCTATAATTTATTTATAAGTGTTACAAGAGTACAGAAAAAATATAAAGATAAAAAATTGCTAACTTTAAAAATTAGCAGTTGCTGAAGTGGGGGTCTCAAAAAATTGACACGTGATAATTGCATTGCTCACAATTGCAGCCCTCTTATTAATCTGAAATGAAACAGAAAAAACTAATCTAGAATGTTGTCGCTATACTATATACTACTGACAAGTAAATTTTTTTTTGACAAAATGGCGACTGTTTAAAAAAAAAACCGCTTTTTACTTACTTTTTTTGAGTTTCTCAAATTTTAAAATTTAGTAAACATTGAAATTTGGGGATGAGTCTATTATAAATAAGAGAGGTGACCAAAACCATGTTCAAAATAAATGAAAAAATAAAGTGTATGTTCTCAAATATATTTTTCAGAAATTTATGTCGAACTTTCTCTATCGCAATGAAATTGTTGTTATAGTAATATACTTACTATTGACCCATGTTTAAATATAGAACGTGCAATTGAATAGTACATGCTAATTTGTGAGTAAATTCTTTACAATTTCTTAAAATGGTTCGTAAAGGTTTATGGGCAAATTTGAACTATATGATCAAGTAAAGGTTTTAACAGAATTATGTTTTATCTCATCTAGGTATCAGAAGTTTGATAGTCAAAATGTATTGGAACGCGTTTAAACGAATAGATAACAATCTTGTGACAAATTTTGTGCGATAAATAAATTTGGCACGGGTCTTTTTACTTTGATTACTAATAATGTTCTCCATTATTTATACAATGATATATTTTAACAGCATTTATCCCAGTTAAATTATGTCAAAATTACTGTAATACTTATCATTATTATTTATTACACACATTATTTTTTGTGAATAACGAACGTCTCCGTATCGTTGTTGTTGTTGTAATAACATTTTTTTGCCTGGACAAATGTACAATGGAGTTATATTTCATCCGGAGCACAATCAGAGTCAATAAAATCTGACTGCTAGCCCTCGGGTCGCAACGGAAAATCCGGCTGGGAAAAAGCGGTAGAACTCACGGGATCTGATATCATTAGGACGGAATTATGTCTTGTTTTTATTTTACTTTTTTCCCAACAAGCTGACAAGGACAAGGGCAGATATTTAAATCAGATAAATAAACACAACATTTCGGCGAAGAACACATGCTCCGGGAGATAGAAAACTCTTCTGTACAATATTTTATTTTACATAGTAAAGCAATATGGCCAATGTGTCACACTTTATAAAAAGATTGAGTAACATTTAGACACACTGCACAATAGTACCTTGTTAGTCAGTAATTTTGAAATTGATTCATAAAATTCGATTTAGTGTGAAGAAAGCAAATTAATCAGTCTATACGAAGACAATACATGATGAACACACATTTTTCTAAAAATTATAATTTGGAATTAAGTGAATATGAACACATTACGCTCTATTTTTGCATCAACTTTATTTCATGAAGTACTAAATTACAAACGTTTCGAGACCGTGAATTGTTTCATCATTAGTTAACAAAATCACACATGATGTAAGTTACTTATTAATTATAACAAGTATGTTTGATTGTGGATGACAATATTTTAATCCAAAACGTTTTTATCTCAAAGTTTAAATATAAAAAATATTTTCAATAAATTCTATGAATTAATACATAAAGCATAGAAACTATACGAAACTAAATATTACTTCAGGCAGAGTGTTTTAATAAAATTTGTTTCAGATTGAAAATAAAAAGTCTGGACTTTAAAATGAATACAGAGGAAAACATCAGAAAAATAGTGTAATACAATTTTCAAAAGCACAAGTGATGGCATTGTTATTAAAAAAAACTTTGCAAGCGAAAATGTACATCAAATAAAAACAAAGCTCGTAAACCTGTAAATAATTTCATTTCAATGCAAATATCGAACGGAAAAGTTTAATGAGATTAGTCGCTGAACATGTTTTGTATGGATTCACGTAAGAAACACATGATAAAAGCAATTTGTTTAAAATTCAGAATGTTTTTGAGTATATAGTCAATATATTTAGACAAGAATTTGATAAAAAAAATTTCTTTTTATCTCTATCAGAAGCAGAAATTACTTCAGGTTGAAACATGAAGCGTGAAAATAGTAATATACTAAAAATCACTAAAATTTTTCTATGAGATAAAGGGATAAATGTTCAAAATTACTTTCATTGTCAATTAGAGGTTGATTAATAATAATCTATTAATGATAATAATATTTTTTCAAGCTTTAAAATTAAAAATACAAAATTTGTAGTTTACTTCAAAATTTCTGGGGTTAATTCCATAAGCTAAAAAAATCTAATTCGATAAAAATTGGCAACGATTGGAAAACTGTTTTCTAATTGTGGCGTTTAATAACCATTGGTGATTTCAATGGATACGTTTAATTTGAGATTTCAATATTTTCATGTTTTTCTAGATATTCATTGTTACTTTGTAATAATAAAATGAATAAGTAAATATAGTTTGAATCTGAAATGGAAAAAAATCTAATAAAAATTACGTAATTACGTAATTACGTATATTTTTCAATTTACCCTTTATTATGAAGTTTATTCAGCCTCAGTCGATTCAAGATTAATTTTTCTGTACTACAAATAGTTCATCAGGATATTACAGTTTAAAATAGCTCTAATATACATGCAAAATACCGACTTTACTCTC